CAAATGTGTAAAGTGAAGTTAGGGAAAATTGAGTAACTTCTTGGAGTCTCAAAGATAGTGAGTGACAGAAACAATATACAAACTCAGGTCTGACTGATTTCAGAATTCTTCTCTTAATCCCTACATTGTGTTGTCTACCATCCAAACACCTCTGGAAACCAAACACTTGGTTTTATTCCTCCTATTGTTAGGTGCTACTCGCCATTTCTTTTCTCCCCATCCCAGCGAGGTTCACCCTCTCACCTGCTCTAACGTGTTCGTCCTGAGTCTCTACTGATAAGCAACTGGTTATTGAGCTTTCTATAGTTTCTCCTGAAATGTGTTTGTCTTGAGCTTTTCTCAGTAAGAGCTGATCTGCTATATAACCTCAAGGAATTTTTTTTTCCAACTGGTTTATTTTTTGTTTAAACTTAGAAGCATTACTGACAATTATAGTCTGTGCCATTGCTTAAATAAATGAATTTTTTTTTATCAGAACAAGAGAAGAAAAGTAGAAACTTGGGAAAACCCAAGCTAAAATAAGAGATTGGCAAAATTTGACCTCTGGATTCTTGGAAGTTCTCCTTATCTATCCAGTGCCAAACAGCTCTCTTGTTATTAGAAAAATCAACTCTTGGAAGAGTCTTTTATAATATGCGTGATCGCCTTGGTGTAATCTTTTCCGGAAGTTTGGTATTTGTGATTAGCATTTTGTTGTTGTTTAGTGGAGGGGCATTGAAAACTCCTATTATAATTGTGGATTTACCTTTTTCTCTTTGCAGTTTTATTCATTTTTGCTTTGTGTATTTTGAAGTTCTCTTGTTAGAGGCATAAATGTTTGGGTTTATTTTGTTATCCGGATTAAATTACTCTATTATCATTGTGAAATAACCTTCCTATTCCTGGTAATATACCTTTACCCTAAATTCTACTCTGTCTTATTGTGATAGAGCCCCTCCTGCTTTCTTTAGACTAGTATTTTAGAGTTTGCTTTGGTAATTAACAAATAGTTGAATCTTGGCTTTTTATCCAAACTGACAGACTCTACCTTTTTTTTCTTTTTGAGAAAGATTAGCCCTGAGCTAACTACTGCCAGTCCTCCTCTTTTTGCTGAGGAAGCCTGGCCCTGAGCTAACATCCGTGCCCATCTTCCTCTGCTTTATATGTGGGATGCCTACCACAGCATGTCGTGCCAAGCGGTGCCATGTCTGCACCTGGGATCCAAACTGGTGAACCCCTGGCTGCCGAGAAGCAGAACGTGCGAACTTAAGAGCTGCACCAACGGGCCAGCCCCCAGACTCTACCTTTTAATTCCAGTGTTTAGAACATTTGCATTTAATTTGATTTGTGACGTGTTTAGATTTTAGTTGTTATCTTGCTATTTGTTTTATAATTACCCCATCTATTTTACTTTCCTTTTTACTTTTTTCTACCTTCTTTTGGATTGAGTAAATTTAATTATTTCCTTTTATCTTCTTTGTAGTCCTATTGGCTAAAATACTTTGTTTTATTATTTTAATGATCAATGTAGGGTATATAATACACTTTAACATAATACAGTCTACCTTCAATTCTTATTATGCTATTTCATGTATAGAATAAGAACTTTCAACACTATATTACCATTTTACCCCTCCTAGCCTTTATGCTATTGTTGTCAAACATTTTATTTGTAAAATAGTTATAGACCTCAAAAAACATAGCTTTTGTTTTCGTTTAAACAGTCTAACTACATTTAAATAATAAAAAATATGTCTTATTTGTCCTGTAGTTACTATTTCTGGTGTTCATTCTTTTGTGTAGACACATATTTCTATCTAATATTATTTTCCTTTTGCCCAATGACATTCTTTAATATTTTGTATCATGTAGGTATGCCACTATGAATTCTTCCAACTTTTCATGTCTGAAAACATCTTTATTTCACCTCCTTTTAAAAAAGATATTTTCATTGGGTATAAAGTTTTATTTGACAAGTTTTTTATTTTCTTTCAGAAATTTAAAAATGTTGCTCCACTGTATTCTCACTTGTATTGTTTCCAGTGAGAATACTTTTGCTTTCCTACTATTTGTTCTTCTGTACAGAAATATGTCATTTCTCTCTGGATACTTTTAAATTGTCATTGTTTTCTGATTTTGAAAAATTTGTTTATGATGAGCTTTCGTGTAGCTTTATTCATGTTTCTTGCACTTTAGGTTTTTGGGGGATCTGTGGGTTTATAGTTTTCAGGAAATTTGGAAAATTTTCACTCATTATATTTGCAAATATTCCCTCCCCGTTCTTCAGTGACTCCAGTTCCACAATTGTCCAGCAGATCACAATCTGGTCTTTAGTTTAGAACATACAGGATACAGTTATACCTCTCTCAATGCACTTTTCTGCCAGTTCTAGCATCTGTGTTAGTTCTGTATAGGTCTTGATTGGTTGACTATTTTTCTCATTTTGGGCTGTTTCCCTGGTTCTTTACATGCCTGATAATCTTTGATTGGATGTCAGATGTCATTAATTTTTCTTAGTCTTTGCTGAATATTTTTGTATTTCTATAAATATTCTTGAATTTGGTTCTGAAATGCAGTTTCACTTGGAATTAGGTTTATACTTCTATTTCTTGCTTTTATAGCTTGTTAGGCAAATCCAAAGTATTGCTTAACCTATTACTAATTATTGTCTACTGAAACAAGCCCTCCCTGAATTCTATATTTAATGCCCCATGAGTTTTTTCAGCTTTGTTGGTAAGATCAGCCACTATTCCTGACCCTATATGAATGCTAGCCACTGTTGCCTTTAATTCCTTCAGGTGGCTCTTTTCTTGGCCTGGAATAGTTCTTCACGCACATGCACTATTAATCAAAATACTGAAAACTTGAGGGGAACCCTCTGTAGATCTCTGGGATGTTTTCTCTGTGCAGTATTGAGCACTCAGCATTGGCTAAACCAAATCTGTGGCTAGATGTCTTTAAACAAAATCTCTTCTTCCAGTTTTCTGTGTTCCTTAAAAGCGTTTTGATTTTTCTGACTTCCTTAACACAATGAATCTCCATCCCTACCTCCAATCTGTCTTAACTTTTCCTGTCTGCTTCCAAAGAATCTTGTGTCCACCCCTATTAAGAAGCTCAACACTATCCTAAAAAGTATTTGTTCACTTGTCTGTCTCCTTTGAAGGGAAAATAATTGATTTGTAAATTGCTATGTCGCTATTACATAGTAGGAGTTAATGGTATCTATTGTTGGATGAATGAGACAGAATTCTCAACGATTTACATAACTCAAAGATAGAAGTACAGTCCTGGAATCTGGGAGGCTGGTGGAAGAAACAGATATACCTGGAAACAAGATTCCAATAGTGAGAGTCAAGTATCAGATGTTGTCAGTAAATGAATGAATTTCCTCTCTTAGGCTATTCAGGTTTTACATACTACTAATATAAAATATTAATGAATATAATATAGAGTATTTTATGTTCAGTAATAATTGAGGGTAAAAAAAAAATCCCTCTCCTTTTTACCACAGTAATCATCTTCTCTCTTTGACACAGTTGAACTGCATTTTATATGGGTTCTTAAATTGCGTAGGACAATTTCCGAAATGTCTTTGCTTATAAGATAAGCCTTCACTCCAAGAACTGATTATTATGCATAAAGGGGCTGAGAAAGAGTGAGTAGGAGGACAAATAAAAATGGGGATTTTACAAGCCTCTCTTCTGTCTTCTGACCAAGACTATCCTTGAAGGGTTAAACCCTCTGCTATTTATCAGCTCTAGAGAACTGTTGATCCTTTTTTTGTTTTTTTGATAATACATAGGCCATAATTTTATTTCTTGAAATTTCCTGTGGCATAGAATTTTCTCATTCTATGAAACTCTTATTCTTTGTGCTTCGAATATTCTCCCTCTGAAAGGCTGGTCTGCCTCCTTTAGATAGTCTTGTAGCAGTTATCTGGCTACCATCTCTCATGATCATGTTCCTTTTCAAGAACAAAGCTAACGATCATTAAAGCTTTTAGCCATTGCTTAATAGATGGGAAATAGTTTACCAGAGCGTTATAACCTCACTTGATAGCTGTGTGGTTTTTGCCATTCCTGGCAAACATCTTTTATACTTAATTTGGGAAAGAAAAACAAATTAAATGGGTACAGATTTCAGGCAGTTTAAAATCACTTTTTATTGATTAAGGGAGACTAATCTTCAAATATACTCTCAATTCAGGTTTAAGTTCCAAACTTCAAAGATGCTCATTTGATTGTGGCTGTTTCTCAATTTGTTCAATATCAGTAGGTGTGTTTAGTGGCAGATTCTGAAGTAGAAATCTAAACAGGTGATGAGTGGCATCCAATTTGCACGTAAGCCAATTGTTTTAGAGAAAAGATTAATTAAAAGAGGTGGTAGGTTAATTTAAATCAAGCAAGACTGAGTCTCCAGCCTGAGTTTAAATCCTTGATCCAATTTTGTCCTCCGGGATACATATAGAAATCTGCACTGGATAAAAGTCTCCACCAGAAAAAAAGAATGAGTTAAGAATCACATTTAGAGCTTTGAACTAAATCTTCCACAATAACAGATAATCTTTACTGAAACAAGATCATTTCACCCAATGTATTTAAAAACATCAATTTTCATGAATAAAAATAAGTATGTTTTACAAGTGAGAGGGCTGCGGGCAGTGAGTGGAGGAAAGTGCATTCCGTCACCTCCTCTCCCTTCATACCCACTCATATATTGCACACCTTCCCATTTCTGTGTTTGCAGGCACACAGATGACTGTAGTTATGTAGCCAGGGTGGTCCCAGCAAGGATTGGGGTCAAGCTCCACCCCATGTTTCTGTAGTGCTTGTGACAAGCGCTGATAACTGAGTTGGCAACTAAATTGATCTTGGAGCAGACAATGGAGAAAGTGCTTTTACTTTCCCCATCTGGAAAGTTACCTCTGTGCCCAGGACAAAGTTTAATGAGGAGTCTTGAGAATGAAAAAGAATATATTACTTATTTATAGTATCTTTTCTATTTTTCTTCTTTGTCCACAGAGACTAAAAGAATTAAAGCAACGAGAATTTGCTCGAAATGTAGCCTCCAAGTCATGGAAAGATGAGAAGAAACAAGAAAAAGCACTTAAACGACTTCATCAGCTGGCTGAGTTAAGGCAACAGTCTGAATGGTAAGAACTGGAGGTTTCTTGGATGGTTCAAAACTCTCTTCAACCTGTGGGGAAATTTCAATAATAAATTTACTTGGTTCACTGTAACAATGTAAACAAATTATAATTAATCAACAGATATGTCTGAGGGCAAATGTTCCTAATAGTTAAAGGTTCATAAATTAATACTTTGGCATCTGACTTTTTTCCTTCCCAACATTTTTAATTTAATGTGCTCTTTAACAAAATGATCCAAGAATGAGTCTAACATACTAACGTTTATTCTACCCAGGTGATTTAAATGAACCTACATAGCTCTTTAGTAATTATTTTAAGTTTCGCAATAATAATTTTAAAAACCATAAATTACACTGCATCTTTTGGGGAGGAAATAAATCATCTGTACATTCCCTGTACACACTTGAATCTAGAATAAATGGTGCTATCATTGTCTGGATGCAAACAAGATGTAATTAATGTAGTTAAATTTGCCACTTAGTGCCATTTAAATTGATAATTATAATAAGCATTACACTAACACATTCTTGTAGCTGAAAAATGGCAGTTTTACAGAAGCTTGAAACTGCTGACTGTTTCGGAGTGAGGCAGTTGTTACCTGGAACTCAGTTAAATTTGCAGATTGTGATTTGTGTTCATATGAATCATAATGTAGAACACTAATGTAGCTAATTTATGTAGTTGACAGTGAACTGGTAAATTGTGAAATTTGTAGCTCTGTGCCAGAGTTTAAACCCCTGTTATTTAAATGAAAAACAATAAACAATAAACTTGGGAATGAATGACTCAATTACAGTAAACATAAGATATTCAACCTCAGATTTGATTATAAGAGTTTTATTTTTTTAGGATCATTTATGAGTAAAAACAGTTAGTGTTCAGCTTGCATATATTCATTTGTTTGCACCACTGTCTTAGAATAATTTAATTAACTTATGAAAATACATGAAAGACATTAATATTAAAAATTAGTGAGGAATTTGGTATAAAGAAAAAGTAAATGTTGAAAAGACATGTAATCATAGGTGAGGTTAATACAAAAAATGCATGCTCTGTTGTACCGTACAATCATAGAAACAGGACACATATTTGGTGCTGAGATTTTTACCTGCCAACCTGTGGAAAACATAGTAACTAAATAAACAGAAACTTTAGCACATCCTTTATAGAGTAGGCAGGCTCTGTGCATTCCATCTGTTCATGTTGTCAGGGAAACAATCGGTGTTCAGCTTTCCAGATACAGAACTTGGAACCAGGAAAATTATTTCATTCTTTTCTACTATCCACCATCTGCCCTCTAATTATTCTCTCTGCTTAAGCAACCTCATGGCCTAAGGGAAATCACTTAATAGAATTATTAAATATTTTCATTTTGGCAGCTGAATCGACAAATGAAAGTAAGAAACAAAAGAGAATAAGAAAAATAATCATCTGTATTACCTCTCTCCCGGAAAACCCTTCTTTGTCCTTTTTTCTCATAATGAGGGCTTCTGAGTAGGATGATGCAGAAAACAAGAAGATTCTTCCATGACCCTATGGAGAAGGGAGGTGAAGTTACTACTACTAAGAATATTTAAATCAGATTAATTAAAAAAAATGATGGCAGGAAACTATTACTGGATCTTATAAAGGGCAATCAACTTTGGCCATCTCTTGGGTAGTTCAACCCAACCTGATTCCTCAGTAAACCAGTTGTTGTGTGGGGGAAGAGTCACTCTAGTGACTCTAGTTTGTAAACTTCTACTGTGTGTAAGTCTAAGTATGGTGCATCTTAATGTCGAGATTTTTCAAATTTTAAAAATTGTAAGATCATTGATAATGAGAATACGAAGTTCCTTATATAAGAGCTGGATAATGTGGAACATTAGGAAATAGCATCATTTAAAGAAATCATGTTGTTTTGATATGTTTGTTTCCTGTTTAGAAAGTATACTTTTTGCACAGGAAAGAATTAAATCGTGCATGTGTTGAGTTGACAAGACTTAGGACTTTTGGAGAACTATTGGCATGGACATTCCATTAACAAAAATTAATGGGTTACCTTTATAGTCACTGCACATCCGAAAAAAATAGAAATTAAAAAAAATTAATTAGGTAAAAAATACAGAAACTAAAGAAAGTTCTAGAGGAAGGAGTGAAATCACAAACGAGGAAATAACTATAAAAATTAAACTTTTAATTATGTTATAAGCATAAACTTGTATTAAAATTATAGAATTTAAAACACCACAGAGATGGAAAATTAGGATTTTCCAAAGTAATAAAAATAAGTTCGATTTAAGATAAGGAAAATTAAAGTTTATAAAGCAATGAAATAAAAAGTTTTAAGTATGAAAATAAGAGGTATAAAAGATTAATAATGAGGGTAAAATATGAAAAGCTGTGAAAAAATATCATCTAAATGTAGATTGGACTGCAAAATGAGAACAAGAATTAAGGACAAGAAGAGCAAAATAGAATACAAAAGCAATAAGAACCAAGAGGTTTAAAAACATTTACAAGAATATAAAAGACAGAAGCTTGCATATTAGAGAGATAAATGGTAAAATAAAACAGCAATACATAAAAGAACATTTAGGCTAACATAAATCAAAGCAAGAAAATGCACAAAACAGTGTCAGGATAATAAGCAAAGATACTATTAAGGAAAAAATAGAGAGAGGAAATATAAAAATAGTAAAATATCTGCATCAAATGGAATCAGGCGGTGTAGAATGATAATATCCACACACCAGACTTTTGAAATAATTTCTGCTAAGATTAGTGCAAATAATTTCAGACGATTGAGGCTCCTGCAGAAGGGAACTTGATACAGAAGTGTAGCTCCCACTTAATTCAAAGTGCGGCTGCAAATATGGAAAAGAATCTCTTTGGTCCTGAGGCAAAATTCAAGGCTGAAGGTATTTCTGGACGTCATCCCTCTATCCTCAGGCTGCAGCCACTTTAAAGGACAAGTAACTATAGTAAACCTCTATGCTTCCTATTTTCCTTTATATTTGAAAGAAATAATCAATAATCCATATGCTATCATAGAGTGTTCCTCTTCATTCCTCCTATTAAATATTCCTAAAAATCCCCTCTAAAGAACATTAAAAAAATGATTCAAAAAAGGAGATTGATATGATGAATAAGAGGAAACTTTCATTATGAAACAATTGCTGTAAGGAACAGAAAAGACTTAGAAAATTTCTAAAGTGGGTTTCCACAAGATTCAAGAGAACATTATAACTCTAAGCCTATGCCACTAGTTTATGAAGAGGGGACAATGTGAAATTATTGGAGACTGAATGGTAGCTAAAAGTATTGTTTGTGAATTAAAATCCATATGGGCATAGTAAACAACAGATTGGACATTGTAAAAAATTGAATCAGTTAAATAGAAGTTAAAAAAAAATAAGTTTTTTCTGAACTAGAGAAAAAGACTAAAGATGCTAGAGCACTGAGATAAATAAAAGACCTAAAAGATATATTCAAGAGACTTGGGACCAGTCCCAGGGCTGAGTGGTTAAGTTCGCACACTCGCTTAGGTGGCCCAGGATTTCGCTGCTTCAGATCCTGGGTGCGGACATGCAACTGCTCATCAGGCCATGCTGAGGCAGTGTCCCACATAGCCCAAGGGAAAGACATGCAACTAGAATATACAACTAGGTACTGGGGGGCTCTGGGGAGAAGAAGGGGGAAAAAAAAAAAAGACTGGCAACAGATGTTAGCTCAGGACCAATCTTAAAAAAAAAAAAAGAAAGCTAATAAATTTAAAATATAAGTACCAGGACAAGAAACTAGGATAGGGAAGAAGCAATAATCAGAGAAATCAGAGAAGAAAATGTATCTGAGGTGAAAAAAGTGGAATCGAAAGTGCCCAGAAGTATGAGCAAAAATTAACCAAAGAAATAAATCTATAACTATGGTCTGGTAAAATGTATATATGCATACATATATATATAATTTATTATATAGAATAAACATAACAAAAATCTTATATATAACAAGTATAACAAAAATATATATAACAAAAATATATATAAGAAAAAAGGAAAAATTACAAAATCTTATAAATACAGAAGCAGATTCATTTAAAAAATGAATTAAAGGAAACTACTTAAATATGTCTCTGCAGTATTACACAAATAAAGACAATGAAGCAAAGTACACAAGTTTGGTGGAGAAAAGGAATGTAACTCCAGAGTTCTACACTGATTGGCTAAATAGTCTCTTTTTAAAAATGTAATCTCTATTTTTTATTGCAGTAACATTGGATTATAACACTATATAGCTTTCAGGTGTACATCGTAACATATTTTGAATTCTATGTAGATTACATCATGTTCACCATCCAAAAACTAATTATAGTCCATCAACTCACCTGTGAGCCTAATCACCCCTTTTGCCTTTCCCCATCCTCCCTTCCCCTATTCTAACTACCAATCCAATCTCTGCAACTATGTGTTTGTTTGTTGTTGTTTTTATCTTCTACTTATAAGTGAGATCATACAGTATTTGACATTCTCTTTCTGACTTATTTCACTTATCATAATGCCCTCAAGCTCCATCCATGTTGTCACAAATGGCTGGATTTCATCATTTCTTATTGCCGAATAGTATTCCATTATGTATATATACCACATCTTTATCCATTCATCCACTGATGGGCATCTAGGTTGTTTCCAAGTCTTGGCTATTGTGTATAATGCTGCAATGAACATAGGGGTGCATGTGTCTTCATGCATTTGTGCTTTCAAGTTCTTTGGATAAATACCTAGCAGTGGGATATTTGGATCATATGGTAGATCTATTCTAAATTTTCTGAGGATACTCCATATTGCTTTCCATAGTGGCTGTACCAGTTTGCACTCCCACCAGCAGTGTACAAGGGTTCTCTTTTCTCCAGATCCTCTCCAACATTTGTTGTCTCCTGTCTTGTTAATAATAGCCATTCTGACTAGAGTGAGGTGATAGCTCACTGTAGTTTTGATTTTCATTTCCCTGATAGCTAATGATGTAGA